TGATCAAAATATGTGATGTGTTAGCAGTAAATATACGTCATACCTCAATACCCAATATAAATACAAATATATAAATACCCAAATACGTCATAGAAGTAAAAATACTCCCTCTTTAACAATAAAACGTCATCATAAACACACAGGACCACCATTCCCACACTCTATATTAAACACCAGTCTATTTGCATTGTGCCGTGTGTTTAAATGGTTACAACCAGTTCTTAATGTTGGCAATTTACTGGTAAAGTGCTTTCTAATGAACCATAATTACTACAGCTTTACCTAATTACCATAATCAGCAGTTATAAATAACACGATTCGCCGCCTTGTTACAACCGCTGATTGAAAAACTGCGCTGAAGACTTGAACTACCAAATTTAGAGGTGATTTCGATCTCAGTTTAAACCCTTTTCTCTCTTTAAACACGTATCTGCCTAACTTGTAATTATCATTTTTCAGACGCAAACACACACACACACACACACACACACATACACACATACACACCAACTATTTTTTGACTAGTTTAAGCCACCTATTTTTTCTATACATTATTACCTTCCCATAATAGTAGTGATACAATTCTAATTCCAGTGCACATACTATGTTTTAAGTACTGTATTTTTCAGACTATAAATTGCTCCGGTGTATAAGTCGCACTAGACAAAAATGTAATAATGAAGGAAAAAAAAAAACATATATAAGTTGCACTTTTGGGGGAAATTTACTTTATAAAATCAGAGACCAGGAACCGACATTTCATCTTCAAAAGCGAGATATACTAATAAGACTAGAACAGAGAACAGACTGTTAACGTCACATATGAACAGTTCTTCAGATAAACTATAACATAAACAACAGAACAGAACAAGTTTAACAAACTCTCCATCTCACTCCAAATCACTAAATCCATTCAATTCTTCATCCTCGGTGTCACTTCTGAGCAACTCCACGACCTCCGGAGGTAAACAGAGCACCACTTCCTCTTCTGTGTCGCTGTCGTCAGACTCAGCATCAGTTCCAGTTAGAATTATTCGGGTCTTTCTGAATCTCGACAGGATGGTTTCAGTGTCACTGAAGTCCAGGCTTTGTCCATCCATCCAGTGACTTCAGGAAAGTTTCATGGTGCATCCTCCTGGTGTCACAAGTTTCTCACTCACTTCAAACTTTCTTTCTGCTGCTCGATTACCATTTTTGGCTGCAGATTTCATGACTTGCAGCTTGTAATCTGCAAAATATGATTTTTCTTTTTTGGGCATTTGTGTTCAGTCTTCTCAGTGTCTTTATAAGTTAGTTCTTTGTGGCTCAGAAGTAATGCAACCAACTGACATGATACAGACAGAACAGAGGCTCTTTCTGCAGGAGACATGTGCAGTAGAGTGACGTGACAGTGGTACAGGAGGAACAGGAGCAGCAGATACTCACACACAAGACTAGAACCTCTCACAGCTTCAGTGTGAAAATTTTAATATATAAGAGGCACTGGAGTATAAGTCACAGGAAACACCCAAACCATGAAAAAAAGTTAGACTTATAGCCTGAAAAATATGATATGTGTCACCTCTGCCCTGGTGTCAGTTGATACCAAGGCAGAGACTGACAATTGATTCTCATAGAATCAATTTTATCATTTGCTCAGAGTTTATATGAGTTCAATATGTTCTAGAGTTAATTTAACATTTTTGGAAATGTTAAGTAACACTGGACCAAAGTTCTTGTTTAACCCCAAAATCAGGAGTTATATGAAGGTTTTGAGAGTAAACAGATAACACTTTGTAGGGTTATGCTGATTTAACTAAACAACACACAGATGTGTTTTATTTTTACACTTTATTTCAGATAATTTAAGATGAAATTCTGTATAAAACTGGTTCAAACTGGTCTTCTGTCGCGGGAGTTTGAAGTGGTGAGTGGGACGAGCCAAATGAACTTATTCACTAAAGGAAGTTGAATAAACACTAGGGGAACTTCAACCATATCAACTCTGGCAAATAACCAAGTCAAAATTCTTGAGCTGAATTCTTGAAATATGTTACCCTGAAATTTTAACCCACCAGTTTTTGCAGTGTGGAGATAAGCAGGTAGCAGACCCAGAAAGACTCCACCAGAAAAGTCACATCATGCTTATTTTCTTTAATTTTATTTGTGTTATTTTAATGTTTTGAGTTTTTTATTTATTTATTTATTCTTTTTTTTTTTTGCTTCAACTCAAATTTTCCATCTTATTTTGTCTCCTTGCTTGCTTTGTGCTTACCCAGACTAAACCCTGCATTGTTCTGTCCGTTACAGGAGCACTTTTAAGCGTAACCGTGCTCTCGTCTTTGTTCTCTTTTCCTCTATTGTCCTGTCGTTTTAAAGGGCACGTGTACCCTACTTTACTATTGTTTCCCTCATGTTAAACTCCCTAAGGACCCGCTCACATTTGGCTAATCCCAATTCTGTCAAACTCCCTGCTCCTTGTCTCCTTTCCTTTGTCGCTTCCTTGCTTCCTTCCTTGGTTCCTTGCTGGTCCGTCTCCTCTCATCTCGTCTCCTCGTGTCCTAGCTTAAGGACACTGGGTTAAGGTGATGAGCAGTGACAGGTCGCCTCCTAATTTAGTCTAGAAACCGGATTACAAGAGACGTGATAAAACGCAACTCCCCCCAAGAGGTAAACCAGGACTAAACCAGGACTAAACCAGGACTAAACCAGGACTAAACCAGGACTAAACCAGGACTAAACCAGGTCTACACCAGGACTAAACCAGGACTAAACCAAGGCTAAACCAGGACTAAACCAGGACTAAACCAGGTCTACACCAGGACTAAACCAGGACTAAACCAAGGCTAAACCAGGACTAAACCAGGACTAAACCAGGTCTACACCAGGACTAAACCAGGACTAAACCACCAGGACTAAACCAGGACTAAACCAGGACTAAACCAGGTCTACACCAGGACTAAACCAGGACTACACCTGGACTAAACCAGGACTACAACAGGATTACAACAGAACTAAACCTGGGACTAAACTGGGACTACACTGGGACTAAACCAGGACTAAACTGGGACTACACTGGGACTAAACTGGGATTTAACGGGACTAAACCGGGACTAAACTGGGACTAAATCAGGACTAAACCGGGACTAAACTGGGACTAAATCAGGACTAAACCAGGACTACAACAGGACTACACTAGGACTAAACCAGGGCTAAACCAGGAGTAAAAGTTCAGGACTAAATTAGGATTTATAAAACCAGGTGTAAAATAGGATTTAAACCAGGACTGAACCAAGTCTGAACCACTGTTAGACCAGTTCTAAACCAGGTCTGGACTGGGTATACTAAACCAGAGCTGAACTTGGTTCTATAAACCGAGAGTGAATCAGGTCCACACATTTTGTCTTTGTCACTAAATGTCGAGCAAAGAAACAGAAATCTGGTTTATTGTATAATTTCACTAAACTTCCTGTATATCACATTAAAGATACAGTGCGTAACTTTCCTGAGGCGTCTCATTACCTGTAGGATTCCAGGGAAATACAAAGTTAAAACCAGAACAGTCTTCATGCAGATAAAAACATTTTATGCCACATTGTGGGAGATTGTAAGAAACTACATTTCCATGGAGACAAGCAGGAGGCGGCCTTACTCCAAATACGAATCAGGTTTATGGAGATGCAAGCTCATTCACAGTAAAGACACATGTTGTTCAGTGCAATAAACACAACCAACATGTAGAGTTACAGTGTACACTTATATAAATATTAGAGGTGGGACATTAAACTGTTATTCACAATTTATTAATTACGAAATTAATGCATTCAAAATATGAACACATTTTATCGCAGTTTGCCAAACAACACGGGACGTTTGTCAGTGCACCATGTCGTGGTACAACTATTGTACAGGCACACACAGTTGTGACTACAACAACAATAGAGCACAAAGCCTCTGGGTCTGCAGGACGGTACATTTCTACTCAAAAAACGACCTGATGGAAGTACAGACAAAGACGTTGTTTATTGCAAACTGTGTAGAAAAGAGTTTCACAGAAGCACCTCAACTTACGACACCATTTAGATTAAAACATGTGACAGCACAGAACCTTCTGGATTTGTTGATGGGAGTAGTTCTGGTCCAAGTACATGTACAAGAGGTGTCAGTAGTTAAGCGATTATTTGAGATGAATTGATTACAAAGCCTGCTAATTAATTAGATTATTATTTTTTATTTATTTATTTAATTTTTAATCAAGTCCCACCCCTAATAAATATAAAGTTTTCTTTTATAGAGAAGCATTTTATGGAACTAAATGATTCCCTGATTGTGGAATCACTGGGTAGTGTTTTGTTTATTTGTAGTTTTTCCTCGAGTGATGCAGAAAAGAGGAACCCACTGTCTGTGGGAATGTTCACGTGTGTTAACATGCTTTTGTTTACTCTCATTTTGGTAAAAAAAAAAAAAAAAAGTTCCATACTGTGGCTTTAAATGGAATTATATTACCGTCGGGGTGACTTTCGACAGTCCGTGTGAGTGACAGTAGCTCAGTTGGTCGAGCGTTTGAAGGTTTGCGGTTTATATTCCGCTCTCAACGCAAACATCACTGGTAGAGCGGCTGGTTGGTGTTGTCAACTTAGAGATGAATGCTGTTGTTGTGTCCTTGGGCAAAACACTTAACCCCCCAGTGTCTCTGTGTGTGTGAATGATTGAGTGGCTCCTTTCTGTAAAACGCTTTGAGCCTCGAAGATGGAAATGCGTTGTATAAAAAAACGTGACCATGTGAGCTGATAATATATGTGTAGACCGAAGTACAGATTCCACAGTCGTCATGTGTATAATCGTGTACTTTATGTATCCGTGTACCTCTCCTCCGTCCTCCCTCTCTCCTGTTATCACTCCGGGCATCCTTATCTCTCTGCATTTCCGTGCGATTCCGAGGAAAAAGTGTATTATTTGTGTGTGTGTGTGTGTGTGTGCGCCGCGGGACTAAAGCGTCTTCATCTGTTTGTGTTTTTCAGACAATGCGGCTACAGCAAGGCGTCTCAAGAGGGCGACGAGGAGCTCTACTTCCAGTGTAAGTGACGACGAAGACGGCTCTATCACGGAACGAGAGAGCGACAGACGGAGAGCAAGCAAATGGGAATATCGCTGTGTGGAATGAGCGCGGTGTGTCGGGAAAATTGTGTTTAGGACGCGGTTGTGTGTCTGTGGTAAAGCGGGACTAAATCATTTCAAGTACTACATGACATCACACAGGACTGCACTCTTTATCTCTACTCCTTCTCTCCATTCCTCTCTCTAGCTCTCCTCTATCCTTTGTCATCTATTTCTCGTCTCTCCATCTCTTTATTTTCACCTCTCTCTCTTCATCTTTCTCTCATCCTTCTCTCCATCTCTTTATTTTCAACCCTCTCTCCTCTATCTCTCTCTCCCCATCCCTCTCTCCCCTCCCTCTATGTCTGCTCCATCCCTCTCTCCATTATCTCTTCCATCCCTTTCTTTCTCTCCCCATTTTCCCCATTCTTCTCTCCTCCATCTGTCTTTCTATTATCATCTATCTATCTCTCATCCTTCTCTCCGTCTATCTATTTGCAAACCTTTTTCCTCTACCTCTCTCTCCCCATCCCTCTCTCTCTCCTCCATCCTTCTCTCTATCGTCATCCATTTCACCTCAATCTTCTCTCCATACCTCTATCTTCAGCCCTCTCTTTTCTACCTCTCCTCCATCCCTCTCTCGTTCTTCCATCCTTCTCTCCTCCACCCAACTCTCTGTTGTCATCCTTCTCTCCATCTCTCTATTTTCAGCCTTCTCTCTTCTGCATCTCTGTCCCCATCCCTCTCTCTTCTATTCCTGTCTCTCTCCTCCGTCATTCTCTCCTCTATGCATGTCTTCCTCCTCATCCCTCTCTCCTCTCTCTCATCCCTCTCTCCTCATCCCTTTCTCCTCTCTTTCATCCCTCTCTCTTCTATCCCTGTCGTTCTCCTCCGTCATTCTCTCCTCTATCTGTGTTTCTCTCCTCATCCCTCTCTCCTGTCTCTCATCCCTCTCTCCTCTCTCTCTTCTCCACTATCTGTCACTCTCATCCCTCTCTCCTTCCTTCCCCTTCTCCACACCTTCCTTCCCTCTCTCCTCTCCCTCCTCTCTCCTGACCTCCCTCTCCTCCCTCCCCTCTCTCCTCTCATCTCTTCTGTCCTCCCTCTCCTCTCCTCCCTCTCTCCTCTCGTCTCTTCTGTCCTCCCTCTCCTCTCCTCCCTCTCTCCTCTCGTCTCTTCTGTCCTCCCTCTCCTCTCCTCCCTCTCTCCTCTCGTCTCTTCTGTCCTCCCTCTCCTCTCTCTCCCTCTCTCTCTTCTGTCTCCTCTCCCTCTCCTCTCTCTCTCTCTCTGTCCTCCCTCTCCTCTCCTCCCTCTTCCTCTCTCTCTGTCCTCCCTCTCCTCCCTTCCCTCTCTCCTCTCGTCTCTTCTGTCCTCCCTCTCCTCTCCTCCCTCTCTCCTCTCTCTCTTCTGTCCTCCTCTCCTCCCTTCCCTCTCTCCTCTCCTCCCTCTCTCCTGTCCTCCCTCTCCCTTCCCTCTCTCCTCTCCTCTCGTCTCTTCTGTCGTTCCTGTATGTTGTGTTTCTGTGTATCAGACTGAGTCACAGATGGAGCAGAAGCCTCCTCCAAATGTCCCACCTGTTCCACCAGACTCTGCTCTCCAAACACCACCGCAAATACTCAACTCTTCCTCCTTTTAATTAAGAGAAAACTACTACTACTACTAATACTGCTACTACTACTATCAATACTACTACTACTACTACTACTACTACTACTACTACTACTATAAATGTCCCACCTGTTCCACCAGACTCTGCTCTGCAAATACCACCACAAATACTCAAGTCAAGTCTTTCGCTTTGTAATTAAGAGAAAATATTAATACTGCTAATACTGCTACTACTACTATTACTTCTACTACTTCTACTATTACTACTAATACACCTGTTCCACCCATAGACTGTATATATACTAATCCACCAACCACTGTGTTCCAGATAGGAAGTAGGCATGGGCACAATTCGGCTCCATTGACTCTGGCCCCAATTACTACTGCTGCTACTACTACTACTGATACTACTACTACTACTACTACTACTACTACTGATACTCCCATTACTGCTGCTTCTATTACTACTACTAATACTACTACTACTGATACTCCCATTACTACTACTACTACTACTACTACTACTACTACTACTACTGCTGCTGCTGCTACTTCTATTACTACTACTACTACTACTACTACTACTACTACTACTACTACTACTACTACTACTGATGCTCCCATTACTGCTGCTTCTATTACTACTACTACTACTACTACTACTACTGATACTCCCATTACTGCTGCTTCTACTACTACTACTACTACTACTACTACTACTACTACTACTACTACTACTACTACTACTACTACTACTACTACTACTACTGCTACTACTACTACTGCTACTACTACTACTACTACTATTACTACTACTACTATTACTACTACTATACTACTACTACTACTACTGCTACTGCTACTACTGCTACTACTACTGCTGCTGCTTCTATTACTACTACTACTATAACTACTACTACTACTACTACTACTGCTACTGCTACTACTGCTACTACTACTACTACTACTACTACTACTACTACTACTACTACTACTACTGCTTCTATTACTACTACTACTACTACTACTGCTTCTATTACTATTACTACTACTGCTTCTATTACTATTACTACTACTACTATACTACTACTACTACTACTACTACTACTGCTACTGCTACTACTGCTACTACTACTACTACTACTACTACTACTACTACTACTACTACTACTACTACTACTGCTTCTATTACTATTACTACTACTGCTTCTATTACTATTACTACTACTACTATAACTACTACTACTACTACTACTACTACTGCTACTGCTACTACTGCTACTACTACTACTACTACTACTACTGCTACTACTGCTGCTGCTTCTATTACTACTACTAATACTACTACTACTACTACTACTACTACTACTACTACTACTGCTACTACTGCTGCTGCTTCTATTACTACTACTACTACTACTACTACTACTACTACTACTACTACTACTACTACTGCTACTACTGCTGCTGCTTCTATTACTATTACTACTACTACTGCTACTACTGCTACTGTTACTACTACTGCTACTACTACTACTGCTACTACTACTACTACTACTACTACTACTACTACTACTGCTTTCTATTACTATTACTACTATACTACTGCTACTACTGCTACTGTTACTACTACTGCTACTACTACTACTACTACTACTACTACTACTACTGCTTCTATTACTACTACTACTACTCATACTACTACTACTACTACTACTTCTACTACTTCTGTTCCATTCCTACTGTGGGCTCTCACTGCCAGCTCAGTACGGAACAGTAATGGAATTTCTCTGACAAATACTACTTCAACTACTACCAGTACAACAACTACTACTAATACAAGCTTTGTGGTGGTATTTTCAACTGTTTTCATGTTTTGTGTTACCTAAAAAAGCTGTTCTTGAGGTGTTTAACTCGCAAGCTCCACAAGCCTGTCAAAGGGCTTCAGTCATTCATTCTGTCACAGTCAAACAAACACACTGGTAACGTGGGTGAGGTGTCTTGCCTAAGGACACAACCACCACTGAGCCTCTGTCGCCCCAGACTAAACCAGCCCAGTACTTCTTTACTTGCTAGTCTAGTTTTGGTTCTTACATTCAGGCACATTTTTTTTAACATATGGTCATTTATTCTGAAAAGAGAGAGAGAAACTGGATACTCCTGGAAAAAAAAAAAAAAAAAAAACTGCTGCGATCTGTGATTTTTTTTTTTTTAAATCTACTGTGAAAAGTTTGAGAATGTCTCCTGAATTCCCATGTTAAGTCCACATTTGTTCACTGCTCTGGTCCATAGTCTGTGTGTTGTTCCAAACAGACGGAGTCCCTCTGCTCGGAGTCTGACAGAATGAGACTAGAGTGAGTGTTTGTGCTGGACACCGAGACGTTCTGGACTCATGCATGTGTGCTCTTATGTGTTTAAGATTTAGATCATGAAAGAAAAGAGACAGAGATGAGAGAGGAGGAGAAAGAGGCAAGAGGTGAAGGACAAAAGAAATGATAGTGAGTTTTTATACTGGACATTGAAACGTACTGGACTTCTGCTTGTGTGCTCTCATGTGTTTAGGATTTAGATCATGAAGGAAAAGAGAGGGAGAGGAGGAGAGAGTAACCTTGCAGTGGTCGGCCCGATCACAGAGCTTCTATGTCAGGGGGAGAGAGTTCCAGGTCCATCCAAGCTCCAGGCCGTAGGGGGTAACGGTACACAAACACAAAAATCACGATTTGGTACGTACTTCAGATTTGAGGTCATGGTTCAGTACGTACTTCGGTTTTGAGGTCATGGTCCGGTACGTACTTTGGTTTTGAGGTCATGGTTCGGTACGTACTTTGGTTTTGAGGTCATGGTCAGTACGTACTTTGGTTTTGAGGTCATGGTTTGGTACGTACTTTGGTTTTGAGGTCATGGTTCGGTATGTACTTTGGTTTTGAGGTCATGGTCTGGTAAGTTTGGTTTTGAGGTCATGGTCTGGTAAGTACTTTGGTTTTGAGGTCATGGTTCGGTATGTATTACGGTTTTGAGGTCATGGTCCAGTACGTACTTCGGTTTTGAGGTCATGGTCCGGTACGTATTACGGTTTTGAGGTCATGTTTCGGTACGTGCTTCGGTTTTGAGGTCATGTTTCGGTACGTGCTTCGGTTTTGAGGTCATGTTTCGGTACGTACTTCGGTTTTGAGGTCATGGTCTGGTACGTACTTCGGTTTTGAGGTCATGGTTTGGTACGTACTACGGTTTTGAGGTCATGGTTTGGTACGTACTTCAGTACAGTACGGGAACAAAATGCGAAACGATTTGCTTGTTGTTTATTTCTGTGTTTATTAAACCAACAAAATAAAAATACATAAAAAATAAAATAAAATTAATGCAAAGTGCTGC